CTTTTTCATTCATAAAAAGATAACAAATTGCAGAATAGAAAATAACGTTTGTTTTGTTGGAGGTTTACGTGGATCTGACCCAGGCAGATAGCTGCAAGAACAAAGGATTCTAACAAGAAGGAATTCCTACACTAAGAAGTTTGCAACAACCAAGTACGTAGGAAAGGAGCCTGAATTGTGACTTGGGGAGATGGTTTTCCAGGACATTTGTTTGCCATCTAGGTCTACATAAACTAGCTATTCCATGCCCCAACACCTGGTCTCCCAACTTATTGGCATGTCCTGCACTGAGGAGAATGAATTTGGAATTGGTAACACTCCTATCTACCTAGAAAGCTGGGTACTGGAGCTGAGTGTTATGGAAACAGGCCAGCCAAGAAACAAGCACCAATCGGAGAGTTGGAGTACTCAGAATTATTATGCCGGCGGGCTCAGAGGGGCTTCTGCTCCGAAGTTCTGAGCACCTCCAGGATGTGCACATGAGGTTTTAAAGGCTCAATTACAAGTAAGGGGGTATTAGCCAATAAGGCTCAAAGAACAAAAAGCAAGGAATCAGTACACTGCAGCTTATTAATTTGTAAAAGATCACGTTACTGACACTTGTTGAGCTTGGATTTACAAGTTAGGTTGTTAGCCCAATAAACTGACACTAAACTTCAGATTTATGAGATAGCCCAGCAGAATTTAGATCAGTAAACAGACACTTATCACACTTACATTTGTGACTTAGCTTGTTAGCCTTGCTGGACTTTTCCTTCACATGAGGACAGCTCTACCACACCCAGGGAACAACTGTGAGCCCTTGATATTTCCACTAGGGTGGGGTGTGGTTTACCCAGGAGGGATGGAGACTATGCACCAACACTCAGGCAGTCTGCTCTGTCTGGGGCTCTAATCTTGTACCACCCTGCTCCCCGCCAGCCCAACACCTGGGACAGTGGAGCTAAGGCAGAGATCCTGCCTGCTTGTTTCCCAGCGTGTAAAAGGGGAATATGTACTCTTCCCAAGGTACTTCTGAGCGACAACACCTGCGGGTGCTTGGTTCTCAGAGCAACAGCAAACCCAGCTCCGCGTGGGGGCAACGGGTGTGATCCCCGTAGGGTTTCTGCAGAAGCATCGGATGGAGGGCTGGATCAGGGAGGTAAAACTTGAGCTGCGGGCCTTGAAGTGTTACCGAAGGGTAAAGAGGCCGGTCTGCTGCCTCCTTCGGGGTGCCCCAGAGGTAAAGCTTTTTCTCTCCATCTCAGCTACGACCCTCCCCTCTCCAGATCCCTCCCTTCTCTCTGCTCCGCCTGTCCATCTGCCTCCCTCCACTTTTCCCCTCCTCTCCACCCGCTCCCATCTACTCCCTCCCTCGCTGCCCCACCTTCTCTCGAAGAACCCAGAAAGGATCGCTGGCCCTCCTGCGCATGCGCAGTCGGTGCCAGCTGATCCGCTGGTTGGAAGCTCCATCTCCGAGCCGGGGATCGGCCCCAAAGGCTTCTCAGCTCTGTCGCCCGGTAGGCCTTTGGCTCCTGCCCCGGGCCGGGGCCTCTGGCTGTGGAAGTGCAAGTTGTGGGGCTCCCGGGAAAGGGGTCAGGCGGCTGCTGGAGGGCGGTCCGCCTGTCACAGCCCCCTAGGGCGCCAGTCAGCGTGTGTTCAGCTGAATTGCTCCGGCCACAGCTGTCCAGGGCCAGGTGTGCATCTGCCGCCTCTCGCCCCAGCCGGGCTCCCCTCAGTCCGCGGCTGGCGTCCCCTTCCCCGCTCCCGCCGCGAGTCCTCTCCTCCCGGGGTTCCTCTCCTTGGCCGCCGGCCCGTCC